TGATTCTATCTTAAACCATAGTCCTACATTAATGAACGGATGTATCTGAGGGTCACACCGACTCAAAAAGAAGTTGCCGATCGGACGAATACTTATCGTAACTTTGGAGCGTAGATCTATTGGGCGATTTATAACGCCGGGTTATATCTGGCATCTCTATGCACTAAGATACGGGAAAAATACCAGCGCTACACTCAGCAATAAATTTATACTAAAATCGCGTTACAAGCTCGTTCTAGCGCCGATAGAACGTGTAAAAATTATCATGAGCTACGCTCATTCCTACTGTTTGAACAACAAACCTAAATAACAAGAAAGTTGTGTGTCATAGCCATGAGTCTACCCACGCATACAACTGACCGGAAGCAAAAAGGGAAAGTGAGATCAGGTTGGGGCGAGGAAGCGATCGAATTATAAGTAAGAGTAGAAATAGATGGTATGATGTCCGGGACAAAGATAAATGAAATCAGTAAGAGAATTAATCGAACTGAAAGAGTAAGAACGAGAAAATTTTTAACAGTCATTCATCCAAACTCGTACAAGAGAATGAAGTACATAGAATTTCGTGAAATAACTATGCGAAATGTTATGTTAATCCCGTCTTAGAGAAAATCACGAGTGCGTTAATTTCGTTGTAAATGAAAAAAAAATCAATTAAATACTTAATAAATGACATTTTGTGTTTGTCGACAATACCGTGTTCTCACAATAAAGCTCGACCCAAGGTCAGAAGGATAGGGGGAGTTTGAAACGTACCATTGTCACAAAAATTTCTTCATTTAACACTTTTACCCAGCAAAACCAACGTGAGAGTGACTGCACATAAAATTTATATGGTTTAACACATTTATGGGAGAAGGGAGGAAAGAGAAATGAAAGGGCCCATAACATGTACTACGTGGTTTTGAAGGCACTGTATCATGGAAATATTGGTCGAATGGATTTCGGAAATGTGTGTTCGTATTCGAGACGCTAACAATTGTGCCACGGCGACGACTTCCCCTACGACACCTTCGTTTGACTTCTCAAGGCGATATGTCGTTTTCTCGTTGCGAGAGCCAATAATAAGAGTGAAGGAATTTTTTAGAACTGCCGCGCCGGGGAATTGAACTCGAGACCATGACCCGGTAGTTGTCAACACTAGAGCCAGTGTTTTAGATTAATCATGAATCATAATAATCTTAAATGTGTATGATAATATTTCATTTAATGGTTGAAAGTTGTTGTGTTCTGATATGTTACAGTTGGACCAGTTTCGTATGTCCAATAAACGAACAATCCGAAGAAATGAGTGGCTTTGTCTGGCGTGTTAAATACCACAAGTAAACCATATTGCACTAAAGTCCTAAGCGTGTAACTTCAACCTTGAACACAGTTGCTGAAAGGATTTCCAGTACTCCGTTTGCTAAACTGGCTTCACTGTAGTGATATTCGTAGTAGGGCGATGACTACTTGGGGATGAATATCATTAGGCGTGCATGATTAGAAGCATTATTATAAGGTATGTCCACATTATCGGATAACGTCCTGTGGGCACAGAATATACAAACCTCAGACATAAATGTGTAGTCGCTAAAATAATATCTTTACTAGCTCGGAGCAGATGAAGTTTCTTAATTTCATGGCAATAATAATAATGGATGCGTCACAGACTATTCATAACATCATAATTGTGCTTTACTCTGAGGGAATATCAACAGCCGAAATATCAAGAAGATTAGATAAATAACAACACTATTCAGCAAATTTATATATAATATAGGTTTGATTAATCACGGAACAGTATTATGACCTTGAGTAATAACCCAACTGACATGCAACGTGTCCCCATGGATTATGATCTAAACAATACGATAATACTTACCATTATGTCTAGATAGCAATTCAAACAGTTGGTCTACGACAGCGCCATCTTTGAAAAGAGGTTTGAACACCTGAAGGGAAAAAAGGAAAATGCATGAAACAATGCATGTACAAGCATGGCCGTAGTCTTGGACAGCATTTGTGCTTAAGATGGTGCTTGTTTGTTTTGTAATTGAAAATTAGAGTTAATGATATAATAATACGGATGTTGTGCCTGAGGCATTTAGAAAATCTTACCCTTCCAGTAATTTTCAATAAATCCTTAGGTACAGGTATAAAATTATGTTCACAACTGTTCACCTGTAGTGATATCATCGCACTTAATAGATACTATGCAGCCTTCTGTCACTTGCAAATGTTAAGGTCTTTGAAAAATGAATAACTGAAGAATGAGAATGATTACCTAGGAAAGGCAAGGCCAGTGAAACTTTTCCTCGCAATATGTAACCTTTAACAGTGTTGGCTAAACTTTCAATATTCTTAAACAAAGGAAGTATAGATTTATTAACTAATCAATCGGTTATTTTCTTGCGCGATCAATGTATCATATTCTTTTATCTTTAAGGCTGACTGTCAGTCATATAAAAATTTATAGATATTACTCTCTTTTAGAAAGGACCTGTCCATTTCATCAGAATAATCAAGATCTCATACAGCACATGTATAAAGAGTCGATGCATAATGTCCTATAATGAATATAACGCAGCATTAGATGCTATTACAAAAAGTATTTACAAAAGTCTGAGGGATTTTGCAGTTTTTTATTTATCTACCATACATAAGATGTTTAAAGCATGAAGTCTCTTCGTGTTTTAACAAAAATGCTGCCTCTCCTGCCTAGGTGTTGCCACAAACAAACAATTCCATGAAATCGCATTTGAAAAATAACACTACAAAGTCAGCGATAACTGATGCTATATGCATAGTTATCACTTATATGAAGGAAACGAAAGATCAAATGGCTTAAATAGGTATCACTACAGTTTTTACGGCAACGACGGTTGAAGACTGTCCAAGAAATAAATAGAATCAGACAGAACTATGAGTGTTTTTGGATCGTCCCAGCATCTCGACAAAGAGTGCGCGGTCTGCCTTTATAATGTTGAATGACCTTCTCATGTGTAATCGAATTTAAATTCTAAAACAAAGTTTATGACTGTGTTAATGAAGTTGTTTATCTTATCACAGCTTGTGTTAATGGAATTGCCTATCTTATCACAACTTATGTTAATGAATTTGTGTTGATGAAATGTTTTTTCGTACCACCACTTATGGAATGAATTGGTAACAGTAATCAAAATTATAGTACAGTCATTGTTATTGTAAAGTAGTTATTAATGTTGATGTAATAGAAGTGTCTATAATACTAATTACAATAATGTTAGCAGGTTGAACATTTTTCGCCCAGATTCAGTTTGCAGTGCTGTTCGAAATAACTAACTGATGGGAGACCGGAATGTAGACCTACTTGGTCATTTACAAAGTAAAAATATAGTGTCTACAACAAGTTTCATGTACACCATCCAAAATCAGTCCGCCAGAGTAAACAACAACCTATCTGGCTTTTCTTCATCCGAAACATCCAATGATCGCTTTCACATGACTGTACCATGCAGTGATTACAAAATACTCTGAACTCGCATGACGAAACACATCAATGTGTTTAAGAACGTTAACTTATGATAATCAACTTAAAAGACAGATATGCGCATTGTAAATATATTCCAATTTAAAGTAATAATAGAAGCATTTTAGTTAACTATTCACGGATGATAAACTTTGAAACAAAACGAAGGTGACTGAAGTAAGGGAACTATACGCAACTGCGCGTATGGCTGGGCCGAGGAGCAAACAAGTGCTTAGACAATTGGTTAATTTGCATTTTATATAATTATATAAACGGAGCAGTTAAAGAAGTCGTGGTGGAAAATATATTAATGGGTGATACTAATTAATGTATTAGTACATTCACAGGTGATATCTTTGTTTTGAGAGTGTGACGTAAGCGAGGTGACGTCGGAGAGGTTGCGCATTCCTCGCCCTTCACGCTCCTGCCTTCATGCCGGTGTCACAAGTCACGGATCCCGCCCGAGTGGAGATCGCCCCGCAACCACCCGAGACCCGAGTCTGCGGCAACCGCTGGGAGACAGATCTCCGGACTAGTTTAGTGACCGTGA